CTATCTCTATGTGCATTTCTAACCAGTTCTCAGTTCTTGGCCAGTAACCAGTGCACCCCTCCCCGCCCCCACCCCCTACCCCAGGTTTGAGCTACTTTCAAGAAATGTGCTGCGTAGTGACACCTAGCGGCAGGGTGCGGCATGGCAGCCCTGCTGTATGAGCAGCAGAACCACTGGCTCCCCGCTGGGAAAGGAAGCAGTGCCCAGACCTGACTCTCCCCCACAGAGACTTGTGTGGTGCTCAGAACCCAGGGCTTGGTGGACAGTTCAGGGAAATGGTTAGACACCCTGGGCTCTGGAGGCTGACAGTCCAGGTTCATGTCCTAGGTCCCCACTTACCAGCTGTGTGAACTCGTGGCTAATAATGGCACCCACCTGCTGGATTGTGCAAATTCTGTGAAACGAAGCATGCGGTACCCGTAGCACAGTGCCTGGTAGATAGTGAACACCTGGCTGGGGGCACCTGCTGATAACAGAGGCAGCAGTCGCAGTAATGATAATAACCTCCGCGTGCTCACTGTCCCGCTGTGCCCGGCACCGTGCTAATCATTTCATGTGGATTATCTGCTCAGTGAGGTGGGGGTCATTACTATCCTGGTTTTATGGGTGAAGACCCTGAAGCATAGGAGGTGGAGCAACCTTATCTTCAGCATCACACAGACGGCACTTGGTGGTGCCAGGATTTGAGCCCAGAGCCTGGGTTCAGGTCACTATACCATGTTGACCCTCGTCACCGGGTTGGTTAGACTCCTCTTCCTCTTCCCTGTGTGTCTCTTCTTCCTTCCCCTCTTCTCCCGCCTTGGGCAGCAACACAGAGGAGGGTCCTGGAGTCAGAGCTGGAGATGGGATTGGCTTGGGCATTACCTGTAACCCTCAGGGACCATCTCTCTCGCCCTCTCCGCAGGCCTATGAGCGGCATGTGCCACCCCGAGCTGTCATCAACAGTGCAGGCTACAAAATCCTCACCTCTGTGGACCAGTACCTGGAGCTGGTTGGCAATTCCTTACCAGGTAAAGGAGCACCCATCCCAGGCCGAAGTGCCCTGCACAGGCCCAGGGATTTGGCCCAGGGAGAGGGCAGCCCTGATCCCGGAGCTCCAGGCTCCACATTTGCAGAAAGACCAGCTGGGCCTGGAGCTGCGGGCAGGTGCCCAGCATGAACTGAGCCCCAAGAGAGGAGGCCCGAGGCCACGCAGTGAATCCAGGCTGGACCCGTGCCCCGCCCTTGTCCCCGAGTCCCCTGCTTCCTGAAGCTTATGATCACAGCTGTGCACTGGGGACCTCGCTGTCTATCCTTCCTCTTCCCTGAGTCCTTGAGAGACTCCCGGGAGAAGATGATCGGGGTGACCCTGCTTTGTAAACTGCTGAGTCAATACTGCATTTTCCAGGAGTTATTCTCCGAGTCCTGTGCACCCCACCTTGTCACAGACCCCCAGAAGCCTTACAGGGGCACAGCTGCCTCTCAGGTGATCCCAGGGAACTAAAGAGGGGAGGATGCTGGCCTGGGGGGCAGCATGGGCCCCTACATGGGACTTGCGACTATAGTGCCCTGTAGCTGAGAGCTTAGCTGGAGTGAGCATTCCTGGATCCCAACCCGCACTCTGGTTTTGTTTTTGCTGTGTCTTTTTGGGCAACACAGCACTGAGAAGCCTGACCTTGGGGTGTTGTGTGGACCCCATGAGGTCTGGGTGTGCCCAGCCCAGCACTGGGACACAGACAGAGCCAGGGCACAAAGAAGAACCGTCATTGTTTTGTTATTAACAACAGTGGCGAGGTCGCAGCCCAGGACCCCTTATCTCACTGGATCTCAAATATCCATGCAGACAAAATAGAGAGAGAAAAATGCCTTTTTATTTTTCCTGTCCCCCACCCCCAGGCCTCCCTTCCCCCTTGGACATTTAAGCCACACTTTGGCCTCCATAGCTAACATTCAAAGGGAAACCCAAGAAGGCAATGCTCGGCCTTTGAACCCGAGGGCTCTGACCCTGTGTTATCAGTGCCTCCCACAGGAGCTCAGACCTTCCCCAAGAGGGGGCGATGCGCTGCATCACCAGCTCTAAGAAATGGGCCTAAACAGATGCCGGGGCCCCGTTAGCCACGCTGTGGAGGACGCTGCAAGAAAGGATGCTGCCTCCCCTGCACAGGCAGCCCTCTCTGGGCTGGAGTTGACCCTCAGATCGGAACTTGCAGAGGGCAGCTGCTCAGGGGGCACTGTCTACACAGGGATCACATCAAAATCAGGCACTGCCCCCATCCTGAAGTGCCCCACGCAGTTCCCACTCATCCTCTGGCACCCTTCTGCACGGCACTACTACTTCTGCATGATGACGGAGGCCGAGCAGGAGAAGTGGCAGGCTGTCCTGCAGGACTGCATCCGGCACTGCAACAATGGTGAGTGGGGATGAGGGGCATCACCTGGGTTATATGTTGAATGGTGACACCTACTGGCTGAGTGTGTTATGGCACCCCTGCTCTATGAGCTATTCTCTTTTCCTTCCGGACTTGTAAGAAACCATGGTGATGCTACCCTTAACCTTCTTCCTTTTTTTTTTTTTTGTTTCTTTTTCTTCTCTCTTCTCTCTTCTTTCTCTCTCTCTCTCTCTCTCTCTCTCTCTCTTTTTTAACCTTCTCCCTTGATGAAAACAATTCTGTGTTGCCCTGACCAGGTGGCTCAGTTTGTGGGAGCATCGTCCTGTACACCAAAAGGTTCCGGGTTCGATTCCCAGTCAGGGCACCGAGGTTGTGGGTTTGATCTCCAGTCGGGGCACGTGATCTATGTTGATCTCACATTGATCTCTCTCTCTCTCTCTCTCTCTCTACCTCCCTTCCTCTCTCTCTAAAATCAATAAACATATATCCTCCAGGTAGGATTAAAAAACCCAAAACAGCCCTAACCGGTTTGGCTCAGTGGATAGAGCATCAGTCTGCGGACTCAAGGGTCCCAGGTTCGATTCCGGTCAAGGGCATGTACCTTGGTTGCGGGTGCATCCCCAGTGGGGAGTGTGCAGGAGGCAGCTGATCGATGTTTCTAACTCTCTATCCCTCTCCCTTCCTCTCTGTAAAAAAAAAATCAATAAAATATATTTTAAAAAAACACACACACAAAAAAAACCCCAAAACAGACAAAAAATAATTCTGTGTTGTTCAGAAAAAAATCTGAACTTGCTGTCAGAGGGGCGTGATTGTTATGCCCTTGGACCCAGGATCACAGAATCACAATCCGGATTCTGCCACCTTCTAGCAACGTGACCTTAGGAGACTGACTTACTCCTGGGAGCCTCTGAAAATAGGGATAGAATCCCTCCCCCGCCTGAGGTTTAGTGAGGATTCACAATGAGAATCCACGCAATGCTTGTAAAAAGTGGTTTTTGTTACATCATTTTTTCCCTTACACTGACCCTAGGTGCTCTGGGAAGTTTACCTCCTCCCTCAGGGCCTCAGTGCCCTCAGCTGTGAAGTTATGAGGACTCTTTCCTCCCGCCCATTCATTCAGCAAATGTTTGGGTGCTAAGGATGCCTCAAGGGAGGAAGAGGTGGTCCCAGCACCCGAGCTGCTGGCAGCCCAGTGGGGGAGACAGATGTGAGACAGATGAGAATGCCAGGGGTGATGAATCAATCACAGCTGTGCTGGGTGCTGGGGAGGGAGCTGCCCGGGGAGCCTTGAGGGTGTGAATGTCCTGGGGCGGAGGGGGTACTGATGCAGTGTGCGGGGAGCTCTGTGAGGAGGTGATGGTTCAGCTGAGGCCTGAAGGATGAATTGACCCTCAGCAGAGCGAGGAGAGTTCCAGACAGAGGCCGCCGCTGCGTAAGGGGAGGCCCAGAGGGGAAGCAGTTGAGAGGAGCCCTGAATTGGGGACAGGGTGACCTGAAATGGGGTTGCCGGGGACACTGTGGTCGGGAGAGCCTGCGGAATTGGATCAAAAAGGCTGTGATTGTCTTGAGGGGACGGTGGGGCCCTGAGGGAGGAACAACCCTGTCCTGGTCCCCGACTGCCTTCCTAGTGACCTGGCTTTGGGGCAGCAGAGGGAGGCACTGTGCCAGCCCCGCCCACCCTGCGGCCCGGCCCACCTTGGACTGGGCTCCACACAGAGGTGGACGGACGGTGTGGCACCCACGCCCAGAGGCGGCAGTCGTGGTGCCTGGGCTCACCCCACTTGTCCTGTAAACTCTCCAGAGCCGCCTCTGCCGTCTGGAATCTGCCAGGCCCACCCCTGCCACCGGCCGGGCCCCGCCGCCCACAATGGGCCTCCTGTTCCCAGGTCCCCCGGGGCTGTGGGGCCAGGACTGGGTGGAGGCCATCTGGGCTCTGGCTGCCCGGCCTGGGCACCCTCCCTGCTCCTTCCTCCTTCCCTCCCTCCCCCTCCAGGTTTCTAAGGCTAATGGCTGACCTGGCAGGGTGACCCCAGGCCCAGTGGGGAAGTCACTGTTTGGGACCCCCTTTGCACAGTGTGGGGTTCAGGTAGAGCGCTTGGCCCAGGCCTGGCACATAGTGAGTGCTCAGCTGGGAGGCGAGGGCAGCCAGGGGTGTCTGTGCCCGGGAAGCGGGGAGGCCGGCAGAGCTGGGGAGGGAGAAGGGGTCCTGCTGCGGGAAGGTGGTCCAGAGCTGCCAGGCTGGTAGGCGAGCCTTTCCTCCACCCAGGACTGTGGGAAAGGGCTCTGCTTCCTTTAGCTTGGAGGCGGGGCCTGGAATTTGTGGAGCCTGGAATTGCTCACTGCTCCAGGGCTGCCA